GTTTCTTAATTGCAACTTTTCTACTGAGTGTTTGCACTATACTTTCTGGAATCGTATTTAACAAAAATAAAGGCAAAAAAAATTGCTTGACTAAACTCCGTGGCCAATTTAATTGAAAAACAGACGACTGTGTGGATGTTTTAAAGACAGTCCTGTGTGTTTCACGTACCCTGTCATTTTCTACAATGCAGTCACCCTGTCCTCCTTCGGGGCCCTGGCGTGGGGTCTGCTCCCCTCCTGATGAGCAGCCCCATCTCGTGACAGGTGGGAGCAGTGGATGGGCATACTTTGGTGCTCAATTTTTGCACCTAAATGTGAGATTCCAGGGAAGAAGATTTGAATTATTTGTAATTCCTCATGACTAGTCTCTCTAACCAGTGTCTTCCCGCTATTTTAATCTTTTATAAAACAATAGGAAAAAAATCTTGCCTGCCTGAAATGAAATATGGAAGTTAGGGTCCAGCCTCACTGTTGGTCTGTGCCCCATGCAGACCTAGGGAGTCCTGGGCCCTTTGGGCAGATGGGGACGGCCACCTCCAGGCAGAGGCCTCGGTGAAACAGCACAATCCAGGGCTGCTGGGAACAGCATTTAGTAGAGTGAGTGATGGCTGTCATTGTGATTTAGAGAAAAAAACCCATCCCAGCCCAGAGTGGAGTGTGGGCCCTAATTGAGGCAGATGCTAATTCTCCTGCATCCTCAGAGAATGTCAGTGGGTGCCTCTGTCCCCCTTGCAGCCCTCCACATGCTTACCAGGGGGGTTTGGTAGACACTTTTATCAAAGTAAGAAGTTCTCTTCTTTTTTTACTTATGGATGGATATTGACTTTTGTCAAATGCTCTTCCTACGTTTAAAAAATATTCTTACAGATGCCTTCTCCTTCAGTGGGTTAATGGAGTGAATTGGATTGCTTTTCTTGTATCAAACAATCTTGCCTTCTTTGGGGACACTCAGCTTGGTCAGGATAAGTTTGATCTCTTTTTGCTTTGTGTTTGGGATCTTGGGGAGATGGAGATCGTGAGTGCAAGCATCATAATGTTCCTGTCTTACGCACTCTGTGTCTGATTATGGCACTACGTCCGTTGTCCATGTAACTTACAACAATTAATACAATACACATAGATTGTCTCAGTTTCTCTGGGGGCTTCCAGCCCAGAATCTCTCATCAGGCTGCAGGTGCTGCAAGGCTGTCCTGGGGAAGCCTCGGCTCCCCTGGGCCCGTGGATGAGGGTGCCCTCCGTCCTCCACCATCTCATGTGGCAACTGGCCCCGTGAGAGGAAGCACGGGGAGGGCGAGGGAGGGTGCGAGCAGGACACAGGTCACAGTCTTGTGCGACCTAATCTAGAAGTGGCACCCATCCCTCTTGCTGTGTTCTGTCTCTTAGAGTCACTAGGTTGGCCCACATGTGAGGAGAAGGGGTTATGTCGGGGCAGGAACCCCTGGCTGCAGGGACCCCGGGAACACCTGGGAACAGCGTCGGAGGCTGCCCGCCAGAAGCATCAGGGTCGTGCTAACCTCAGAACAAGGGTTGGAGTGGAGCCCTCTTTTTCTGTTTTCGGGAGAATTCTGTCTTTTACTTGTCTCCTGGCTACTTTAACATGTGTATTAAAAATCGAAAGTGAATTAGTATTTCTGTCATCCTCCCGAGTAAAGGCTGATCCTCTGTCGCCCTGCCCCCAAAGACAGGCAGGGTTATTATTGTTGCTTTATGTAGACCGTGTATTTTCTGGGTTTACGCAAATGTCACACATGCCTTTGCTCACCTTTATTTCTCAGGTCTCAGACCTTATATCTGCAGTCATTTTTCTTCTACTTTAAGCATGTATTTTCAGTTTCCTTGAGTAAGGATCTCTTTCGGTTAATTTTCTGACTCTTTTCTTTTCTTTTCTTTTTTGAAAAATATCTTTATTTTGTCCTTTTCCTAGGCAAGGGTTGCAAACATTTTCCATAAAGGGCAGATACTGTTTTGGGCTGTGGGTGTCCAGTAATCTGGTCTCTGTTGCAGCCATGAAGGCAGCCTGTGGGGAAATTGTAAAGGACTGGGTGTGGCTGTGCGCTAATAAAACTATTTACAAAGACAGGTGGTGGCCTCCAGGCTGTCTGACAACCCCTGTGCTAGGGAATACAATTTTCAGTTCACCGTTACTTTCAGTCAGCCCGTTAAAAGTTTTATTATTCTGGTTTTTGGCCTTCACTGTTGCTAATGGGATGTCAGCAGTCAGATTCATTTTCACCCAAATGAAGGTAATAAAATCTTTCCTTTGTAGCTGCTTTCAAGATCTTTCTTTAGTGTTCCTCAGTTTCACTCTGCCGTATTAAATATCTGGGTTTATTTTTATTTTTCCTACCCTTTTTGTACTGCTTTGTTTTTGCCAGGTGGTGAGGGTTAAGGGGTGGGCTTCCTGGCTGAGAAGTGTTCTTTCAACAACTCTGGTAAATTCTCGGACATGATTTTTTTCAAATATTGCCTCGCCCGTATTCTCCATGTGCTCTCTACCTACAGCTGGGTTCTGAGTGGTGTTAGGTGAGAAGGTCTACCCCAAATTACCTCTAACCCTTCCTTCCTGTTTCTTCTTCCCTTTGAGCTTCTGGGCCGTGTGTTGGGTAATTCCTTCAGGTCCATCTTCTTAGTGGTCTAGTCTGTCTTCATCTGTGTTTAATCTGCTATTTGCTACATCTGAGTTTTTCATTTCTACTATTTTTTTAGTTAATTTCTGGAAGTTCTGCTTTGGGTTTTCTTATAGTCTCTTATTCCTCGGGGATACTTTTAAGCTTTCATTTCTTTAAACATAATATTGGGCTTTTTTCCTTCCTGATTCTCTCTCATGGTGCCTTCTTTCCTTTTAGATAATGTGAATTTTTAAAACTACAAGCCGACCATTTTCCTTGGAAAACTTTGTGTAGAAATTCTTTGAGGCCAAGCTCGACGTCACTCATCAAAAGAGGATTTAGAACTCTGGGGTACCACCAACCTGAGCCACCGTAAGTGAAATTCTCTCCCTAAGGAATTTAGATCGCAGGTTAGCATTAATTCAGACTGAGAATCATCTCAGCGACCAGCTTCCTTGGTTATGAATCCTCAGGAGAGACTCCCCTTCTCATTCAGCCCTAAGTTTGAGAAGAGCTACTTCTTTGTTCTCTCCTCAGTTCTCACTCACAGCCTGCGTGAGAGGACGCCCTCAGAGCCTCATCTTCCCCCAGAGAGTCTTCTTTTCGGCTTAGTCTCACCCCCCACACACCCTGTGCAGTCAAGACCCTCAAAACTTTCCCGGGGAAGCTGACTTTGGGGTCATTTCCTGTTTGAGTTCTTGGTTTCACTCCCTGTTTGGTCCCTGAGGTTCCCTTGCTGTTGCGTCAGTGCAGCCAGTGCATCAGACACAGTACGAATCAGCGTGTAAGTTTTTGTAGGAGAAAATATTTGATATGCATTTGAAAGTGGCAGTCCTGTTATTTTTTTTTATGATAAAGATGTTTTACGTCCCAAATCAATTATTTGAGTGAAAGAAAAACAGTAGAGTCTACCATGTGGTTTATATGCTGCCTTGCTGAAATAGTAAATATATTTATAATTTTTCTGTGGGTGTTTCTGTGAGTATCACTTATCTGAGATTTGCATAAAGTAGGAGGTTAAATCTTTTGTTTTCCTTGGTATTAACCCTGATTGGTATTCTAAACAAAAATAGGAATGCTTCTAGGGAAAAGACCATGATTTCTAAATACATTTTCTCAATTTGGGATTTCTATCAGTTAAATTTTTTTCTTCCATCTTTAAAGATTTTATAACGGAAAAATGAAGTCAAACATTCCTGTGATTTTTTAATGCTAACTTTTCTCTGCAGTAAAAATGTTTAGAGCATTGATTGGGTTTATTAATCACTAAAATACAGTCCTCAGCCTCAGCACCAACTGAGCAAATAAATGCTTGAATGCAGATACAAATGGAAACTAGAATCGCTTGCTGACTCACATGAGGAAAGATGTCAGTTTGTTATTTCTTCTTCTTATTTCCAGCTTTATTGAGATATAACTGAAACATAACACCGTGTAGTTTAATACACCACTCCAGCCCCTGGCAGCCATTATTCCACTCGCTGTCTGTATGAGTTTAACTTTTTTTAGATTCCACACATGAGTGATCTAATTCAGCATCTGTCTTCTTCCGTCTGTCCATTTCACTTAGCATGATACCCTCAGTCAGGGTCATCCGTGTGGTCACCAGTGGCAAGACTGCTGTCTCCATCATGGCTGAATGATAATTCTGTTGTGTGTGAGAGGTACCTGTGCCTGTCTGGGTCTCACATCTCCTTTCCTTACCCATTCATCCATCAGTGGACACAGGTGGTGTCCACGTCTTGGCTCTGCAGTGAACACGGGAGTGTAGATGTCTCTGAGAGATCCTGGCTTCAGAGCCTTTGACTATTAACTCAGCAGTATGATCCCTTGGATCATAAAGTATACCTATTTTTAATTTTTTGAGCAACTTCCACGCTGTTTTCCACAGAGGCTGCACCATTCACATTCCCACCAACAGCGCACAAGGATTCCAATTCTATATCGTTACCAGCATTTACCTTTGGGGACTTTTTGTTTTATAATAAACATCCTAACAGGTGTGAGGGGATGGATGTCTCCTTGTGCTTTTGATTTGCGTCCCCCTGATGATTATGATGGTGAGCATCTTTTCCTGTACCTGTTGGCCACCCATACATCTTCTGTGGGTCATTTCCCTCAGTGGATTTGGCTGGTGTTTCTTTCTAATCTGATTCAGATCATGGCTCTGTGACAAGTATATCACAGGAGCAAAGCTTATGTGCCCCTCAGTGCACCCTACGGGATGGCACATGATTTCAGTGTGTCCACTGTGGATCACATTAACTTTGCTTATTGAATGTCATGTTTGCTAAACTTCTGCGTCACAAAGTTGCTATTTTTTTCCTTTAAGGGCAATAAGTATAAAATAATTGGCCTGTAATCTTCAAAGGTGTCATGTTTTTAAAAACCAGATTATAAAATAGAAGGAAAGGCTGAAATTCTTAAATGTGAGAGTAAAATAATGTCTGTGTCTGCCCCCCACTATATATATATGCAAACCTAGTTCCAGTGAGTACAGTGGCTTTACTAAGCAATCGATTGGGGATTTTATTTGAGAATAGAAAATAGTAATACAGGTGCATCTTTAATGAGTACTTCAGAGTCAAGCCTTGGGAAAGGATTTTTTAATTCTTTTTCATACAACTGTAATTTTTTCCCCTGAAGGTGTGATCATTGTTCACAGGTATTCGCAGAGGGACGTCTTCATCCTGTGCATGTGGAAAGTAACCTGAGAAGTCTAAGCTTCCTGCTCAACGACCCCCCAGAGCACCAGCCACTTGGCCTTCTGAAGAACTGTTTTATCGCTAATCAAAGAAGTGAGGGCTAAAAATATTTTCTAACAATATATACATGTGCGTGCCTTCTCTGAAAAGCAGCAGCTGTCAACATCATTTAACAACGTAGGAGCTTTCAAATTATTTTGGCATCAGATAAAGAATGTGAATTGCTATTTTCTGTTTTAACCCTCCCCAGGTTCTGGGAGATTTCACTGCAATTCTGTTTACAGTTTCTTGCTTCACAGCTCCCACAGAATTAGGGTCCTCCCTAGTGAAATCCTTCGGAGATGTGCACAGCTCTTAGACATTCTCTGACACTGCTCGTTCATCTCCTCACCGTGACCCTTAGTCCTCCCCCTTCATTGGTGAAAAGTGGCTAAAGTTAAAGGAGATTTGGGTGCAGAAGACCAACAGACCCCAGCCTGGACTCTCCCCACCTGAGCTTTCTTGGGCCCAGGCTCCCTGAATGCCGATGCTCCACTCCCCTCACACACCTGCTCCTGTGGGCTTGTGCCGTCATCTGTGGTTCCCCACAGCAGCCATTCTGCCTGCCTCTGGCTTTGGCCCCCTGACACTTCCTCCAAGTCTGGTTTTGGCTTGTACTTTGCTGGTGACCGTTCCACTTGCACTTTGTGATCAGTCACCTCAAGCTAACTCTGTTCACGAACTTAACCATTAGCCTCAGCAATGCTCTCTGCCCCAAACCCTGCCCTCCTTGGGCATCCAAACCCTGCAGGCTGGGACGGGAGCTATTTAATCTCACGCTGTTTAATCTGTTTCCCTGCTTGTCAGTCTGGAATACTAGCATTTAGTACCTAGTGCCTGGTTTTTATCAGGCACCCAGTTATCATTTGGTAAATAATACATAAATATTTCGCGGGTGTTCTTAAACTGAGGGGTCTGTGTGTTTGCCCGGTGAAGCGTCATCAGCTAAATCAAAAAACCTAAAATGCAGAAGGTGGTGGTGCCCGGAGCCTGGAAACTTTCTAGCTTTATGTGATCTTAGGATGTGAAGTAGGTCTCTGAGAATGGGAAAGGCAAACGGCCAGACATGTTCTCAGTTTTAGAGTTAGGAAGATAATATGAGCAATTCTTAAATTAGTCCTTTTCTTTTATAGATAAAGTTTACTGCCCATGTTGAGCAGTATCTATCTTTTATAGCTAAAGTTTACTGCCCACTGAGCACCAGGGACAAGTAAAAGAAAACTTACAGAGGTCCTGACCACAAAGTTTATAATAGTTGACCCCCACGACCACCCTGGGAGTCGGTACAGCAGATATTAAATCACCATGTGTGGATAAGAAATAAGCACTTTGGGGAGTTAAATATTTAGCCCGAAGTCTCATCTAGGAGATGCAGGGATGGTCTCAGTCTTAGTTCTTTGGCGTGAAGATCCATTGCTCTTTCTAGAGTTATTCATCTTTAAATCCAGAAACATTAGTTACTTTCACCCTTGGCAATAAGTCTAGGTCATGAGAGTTGTCATATACCTATTGTTACCTGTTATTTTGTCTCATTCTTCCTACTTAAATAATATTCATGATAACATCTACCTTTAGATCAGATAAGAAGAAAGAAAAATGCACTACTTTGCGTATGTGCCAGGAGGAGGCTCTGAGGGTCTGCAGACAATGTTTTCTGAAGGCAATGGTTAGAATGCAGGCATATTTTTCTCTTATTTTGATTAGTGCCTAATGGTTCGCCAGCTCAGCTTTCCTCAGACTGTCCCACAACACTGATGACCAGTAACAGGAGAATGGGCGGCACCCCTCACAGGAGCGCTGGGAGGGCTGCCGTGATGTGTGTTCGGTGACTACCAGCCCTCATGTGCGGACTCAGGATGCAGATGCTGGGAAGCAGCCACGTGTGGATCCGGAAGGTCTGCTCAGTTAATGATCTCAAACCGCATAATTATTGAACTGAAACCCACAGCCTTCATGCTAACAGGGATCCATGCCTTTGTTTTTCTCACCTTTTTAAAAATTGTAGTGCTTTCCCTGCATGCAAATGAGATTCTTAAGGAAAACTTCACGTGATTTTCTTGAGGAGAAAAGCCTTGAGCTGTCACGCTGTAAAAGTGCAGTGCAAGAGCGGTAAGACTATAAATGTTCAGGGTTGAAAAAAAGGAGAGGCTTGGTTTCTGGCTTTAACAGAAACTAAATGAGATCAGGCAAATTGCTAAGCCACTCGGAATATTCTCAGTTAAAATGATAACTGTCACACACAAGAGTATGGCATAGGTGCCATCTGCAGTGCAGGTCGGAGGAGCTCTGTAAAGCACTCACGGCGAGTTCTCTGGGAGCCCCTTGTCACCCCCATGTCACAGATGGGGAGATCCCCCAGTGTCCCACAGCACGTCCCATCCAAGTTAGAAGAACAACACAACCCCAAGAGGGTTATGAATTCTAGTGTCCAACATGCTCAAATAAAGAAAATATGTTTTATATGGTTTTGAAGCAAATTTCCTGCTGAAAATTAGCTGAGTATTGGAATCATCCTTTACATGTCATTTCTCTTTACATCTTCACAGATGAGATTCCGTTAGGATGGAACCGAGGGCAGAGAAATGTTAAAGACTCAACATAATCACACACCAAGTTGTAGGCAGGCCTTTTAAAAATCACATGTAAGGAGTTATTAAGCAAATAAAGACGTATATCCTGGAGAAGTTGTCATAATCCATCTCATTGTTTTTTTTCAGTCTCTAAATGCTTGCTTCTAGAGGTAATTTAAAAATTGAGAAAAATGAAATGTTGTTTCAACAGTACTTGGAGGAGAAAAAAAACTCAATTTGAATGCAAACTCCAAAAATGCACCCATTACTGTCTAGCAGACAAGACCAATACCTTAATTTCTAGCATTATAAAGGGGACTTTTAAATGACACAGTGGAATGGGGGTGTGAGCTCCAAGGGACACTCCCCTCACGTCCTGGAGCAGCCAGGTGAGGAGGAAGACAAAATCAAGAGACCTCAAGAATCACGTCTGAACAGACAAAACTTGAACGTGTCCAAGCTACAAAATAGCAAATGCCCTCTTCCCCATAGTGTGAGTGACAGCTGCAGGTCCACCCCAGCTCACCCCTCCCTCCTCCTCCCAAGACTCCGTGAGACACCCAGTCATAGAACTGCCAGCCCCCTCAGAGCCTCCAGCCTAGAGCAGAGCCATTTCTTCAACCTCTCCCCCAGTTCACTTAGCACCAGCCAAATCCAATGATGGGTTCTTCCTAACAGCCTCTTAGGAGAAGCCCCAAGGGTTCCCCATGGTGTGTCTCCTTCTTAATGAGTAATAACTTGTGCCCTAGTGATGCTTGGCTGGAAGACATTAAGTCAGGATGTTGCCGAGTCCAAACTCATTCTGCTAGCCGCATGACAGGCCAATAAATTGGGAGACAACGTGTTGGGGCAAACAAAAGTGACTTTATTTGGAAAGCCAGTAGACCAAGGGGATGGCAGACTAATGTCTTGGGGAACCATCCTGCTCCAGTCCGAATACAGGCTCCTTTTATACAAAAAAAAAAAAGGGAGGGGGTGTGTGGTTGGTTGTTGCAAACTTCTTGCTGCAGGCATTCTCTGTTCTTGCAGCCATCCTCGTGGGTCAGGCCATGGTGTCCCTGTAAACCGCCAACAAAACAAAGGTTATTATTCTCTAGTTTGCAACTTCCCATCTCTACATGAGGGCAGAAGTGCTGACGTCCTTAAAGGTCAGAGCCTGGAGAACAGGCTCTCTTGTCTGTTTCAGGCTAAAGGTGCTGCACTGGCAAGACTGAGCTTGGAAAACAGGGCACAGTGGTTAAAGGAACAGATCCAGTACAGGGCCTGACCTGTTCTCTATTACAAGGACAAGTC